TCATAATGAAGCACTTTTAACACAGTAATCCTGTATCCTATAATCCTTTTGTGTGAGAAACTTTTAAGGATATCAAGAGCAAAAGCTTTAGATTATTTTGACTTATGATAAGGAAAATAAAAGTGAAATCTTATACTTATTTCCATATGCAAAATAAAATAACTCCTTACATTTCAGATACTTTATTCATTTTTTTATTTCAAAGATAGATTTGCAACTTTAAAGGAAATCATAAATTGCTTGTTAAACTCGTCTATTCAGTAATTGACAATAGAATATATAAATTTATGCTTTTAAAAATCAAAACACTTCATACATATCCCTTTTCTTTTTTAAATATTTTTTTATTTAATATAAAAATAATGAAATGGAAATATTACATTCACAATTTAGAATTATACTTTTGCTTAGAATTTATTGTAACAAAATATTGTGTATATATTGCAAAGGAATCCTGAAACATTTTAATTTAGTTCATTACTCGTATGAATCAAATCGAGATGAAATGAAGCTCATAAAATGAATAAATTTGTAATTAAATCAAAAATGCACTGCAGTTGCTTTAACTTCGAAGGGCTTTCGGAAATGCAATGAGTTCCAAGAGTTTTGATGAGTTTTATGAAGTTCACTTTAAGAAAAGTTCAAAAGTTATGACTTCATTCTTTTAATATATAATTATTTTTATAATGATGGAAAGCAATGCACCTTTAGTATCTTAGAAATTCATATCCAATTAAAATTTACTTTACGTTTAAAACGATGGACAGAATATTATTCAAATATAATCCAAACTAAAATATAATATTATTTTTAATTAGTTGATATTGTGCATTTGTATATTAAATTTTATTTAGTAATAATAAATATAATAAAATTTCTCTACTGAAAGTTGTGCTTATTTTCATAAAATGAAAAAGATATAAAAAATATCTAAGAAACTGAAAGTGCACTTCTTACTTGAATGATAGGATTAAATATTACTTAGATATAAGATAAGATTCAACTGAAAAATAATTTTTGTGTTATTTTGTGAATGTTGTAGATAGTTTTAAACATTCGCTTTTAAATTGCAATTTTAAAATTAAAATAATACTAGAAATTCAAAAAATATATAGTCGTGAGTTTTACTGCCAAAATATTATGTCTCTTTCTTTCATATAAACTTTCTGTTAATTAAACAGCAATGGGTAAGTTTTGATATTATCTACTAAAAAAAAACGATTTTTATCCATATCACCAATGTAATTATTCCATATCATCTACAATATTTCTCGTCATGCCTGAGCACAAGGTTTTTCAGCCGAATAAAGTAATGATATACAATGCTATCATCAAACCAACCTGGATGTATAGTGTAGAGCTTTGGAGACCAAGTGCAACTCAAATTTAGAAGAACTGCAAAGATTACCCAAGTTATTTTATGTCATTCGAAATTCTATCGCAAAGTACTATTTGAAACTAAATAAGCATTCAAACGTCGAAGCCAGACAACTGCATTCGATTGAACTATAAAACTTCCTGATAAAGAATTGGTCTCACCCGTGTCTCGGGTGGCAGGAAGTCACCTGGAAAGGAATATTACTTGTTCCAAACACGTTATTTATGACGAAACGACTTAAAGATAGAATATTCGTCAGAAGCGACTTTTATCCTCACCTGAAATTCTGAAATTAAGCAGTGCTTAACGAAAGATATGTGGGTCTTCATTAAAATATTTAATTATTTCGGTTCGGTATAATCAACTGTAGCACAAAATATGTGTCGCTCTGTTGGGAGCTTAGATCTCTACTATGTCATTATCTAACCTTATCTAGTGCAAAGTTATTGATGCAATATGTTAGGTTGCATGTTTCTTAATTATATATTAATTTATATAATTATATATTGTGTCGCTCTGTTGGGAGCTTAGATCTCTACTATGTCATTATCTAACCTTATCTAGTGCAAAGTTATTGATGCAATATGTTAGGTTGCATGTTTCTTAATTATATATTTTATTTATGTGTGAATTATTATATTTGATTGTTGCTAATGAAACAAAACAATGTTTGTGACAAAATTATTTATGCCCATAAATTTATATTTCTATAAATATAATAAAGAATTTATGTATGTTTTCTAACATATTTTTAAATAAATTATGCAAAATTTTATACAAAGTTTTATTTTCAGTATAATTTTATTTTAAATTTAAATTCATTTTTTCATTTCTCTTATTTTTTGAGATAATTATAGTGTAAAAAATGTATATCTCTAATGTTCGACTAAATATTAAATTTCAAAGAATTGCACGGCATCTTAAATTTGATTGAATAATGAAAATCTTTAAAGTTAATAAAAAAATATTTTTTTTTAAAGAAATAATTTCAATTTCGAACTTTTATTATAATTTAAAAGAGTTTTCTCTCATTCGCAAACAATATTTTCCATTTCGTATTGAGTGCCATTCTGAACCAGAAGTTGAGCACTTAAATTTTAAAACTCCCTGAGGTCTTATTTCACAATATTTTATTTGATTAAAAATTTAATAAATTTTGTATAACAAATGTGGGCAGTTGAAAAAACATTGCATTTTAAATTAAAATCTTTTTTATTCATAGAAATCAAAATATTCAAAACTTTTCATTGTGAGCGAAAAAAAAGTATTTAGTATTTTTCGTTTTATGACGAAGGACATGCATAAATTTTTTTTTAAAAATGCGAAATTTTAAAAAGGCGTTACTGACCTGATTCTGGCTTTTTTTTTTCTTCTTACATTTTAACAAATTGTTCATAAATATTAAAGTCACGCAAAATTAACATTTATACATAACTAAATACTATAATTAAATTTTGAATATGGATGGTTGGTTGTGTTGGTGTCAGTGGAACTTCCTCTTCGGTTCAAGCAGCGGATAGGCGCCGTTTAAGGTTTGAAATTAACCTGCACGGTTTAGATTATTATTTATATTATATTTTTTTTTTGTTAGATCTATATTTAGGATATCCAACCAATTAATTAGTTTCGTTAACTTCTATAGTTAAATAGCTTAACATGTATGGTTAAAGAGTATGCCTATCTGACAATGACCTGTCAGCACCGCTACAAGTTATGCTCTTTCATCCCATTTATGCTCAGTAAAGTTGTATTCTTACATATTAAGTTCTCCATTAATTTTGAAAAAAACAATGATATGACAAAAAAAATTTAATATATCAAACATGTTAATATCTCTTACCAAAACGTTTCACTAGAAAAATACAATTATTTGGGCATCACACCCACGCAGCAAGATACAATATGAACTATGCAACCGAGTTGGAAAAGCAATAAACGCGTACCAACACTTCCACTACACATTTTTTGTAAACTGAGAGACTAGTGTACTAAACTCCAAATGTACAGCACAATCGTCGAATTAGTTCGAGATTATGAACCAGAAGGTTTTTCAGGCAACGATAAAAAGCTTAGTATGCAGTAATAGAAATAAAGTGATTAAAAAACTTGTGAGAAAAAATAGTCGTTATAAAATAAGAAATGATTATAAAACAACTGAACTTCGACCAAAGTACTGTCAACTTAATTGTGCGATTGTGCCAAGAGAGATTATCCAAACTCATTCTAAAAGCAGACTCTGAAGGGAAAGGACCTGAGAGACTCCAAAGTCTAAGAGTTTTTCATGTACTTGTTAAACAAACTAAATAAAGAAAATGTTAAGGGCAAAATGTAGATGATGTGATTAGAGTACACACAAAGCAAAACAACATCAAAATATAAACAACGCGAGTTTAATCCGATCACTAAATACTTCGCACACAAAAACATGCAAGCAATAGCTCAATGCTAGTATAATTTGATATAATTTATACGTCAAGAAACCAAATTTCAATTGGTTCTTAAGTTTTCTTTTATTTTGCTTTAACACGAATAATTATATATATTAATATACATAAAGTGAAACGGGTCAACTGATTTCATACAGCACAACTAATTCAGACTCAACTTTTAAGGACTACGTTTGAAAAACAATAAGAAAATTAATAACAATTGGTAAAGTAAGAAGAATGACGGATGGAAGACATTTTTCAAATCTCATCATACGCTACAATGGTGATAAAAGGGTTTAATGAAGAAATGAAAATACATTTTCTCACCATGATATCAGTTTGGCTATTCCATATTTTTTCATTTATGTATTTATGTGTTAATTTTGGCCTTCTTAATGAGGTATGTCTTTGTTCATCTATTGAGGATGCTTCATATTCTTATCTAGTTTCTCTACAATATAATTTCTTTGTAATTTTCTGCGCCATAGTAGCCAAATCAGTGGTATTGTGGACTGGTTACTAGGTTGAAATTCGCTTTGCTTGATCAGCTTTAATTTTGTAATATGATTGAACAGAGTGAGATTAAGGACACTACTATTGCATTGTAGGCTATAGATTTCGTAAGTTCTTATTTCAAATCAATAGACCTGAGCATAAAT